TCTAAGTTTCATCATTCTTGTTAAAGTATATTACCTAATTGTAATTTGCTGACCAATTAAATCTCTAAATTGGGTAACCAAATCTTCATAGGAATATTGATTCTTTTGTTGCAAGTAGAGAACTTCACTGCATCACTCACTGACTCTATATCTAGGGTTTTCAGCTTCCAGCACAATCTAGCTCTAACCATACTTCTCAATATATATATATATATATATATATATATATTAAAAATGATTTTGAATAGAATGGAGAGCAACTGGTACGTACGTACAGTCATTGTCATGGAAAATTCTCTCTCTTACGTCTAAAAAATTTCTAAACTTTGTAAGCTTGTGAATTTGTATGCTGGCTATAAAGCAAGTCAAGTGGATCCTTCTGGAAACACCTTGATTTTTGTTTTTCTTCCACACCATTTGAGACTCCAAAGAATTTAGAACCTCTCTTCCTCTTACAGCAGCTGGCTAATTAATTTTCCTCATCACTTAGCCAGGTTCCTTTTTCTTGGATTCCTAAGGACCCATGCACATGAACGTTGATGGTTTATGTTCTATAATAAGACACGGTTTGGCTTTTACAAGCAAAGTTTTGTGAGAATAACCACAAATTAATCGAAAAAGGATGAATAAACAGCGACCCAACAAGAAGATAGAAAAAATCTATCAAAATATATGTGATGGATTTGCACCTAGAGGGGCACATCGAAGTGCTCCAAGTTGTGCACATCCTATAAATGCAAAAAGCTGTAGAGAAGATTGCGAGTCATGACACAGCTGCTAGTCAGAAAAAAAAAAAAAGTAGTAATTAATTATAAATTGATTAACATACATTAATTATTTAATATATAATAGTAATTCAAACAAACAAAAAAAAAAAAAAAAAAAGAAAGAAAGAAAATGTTGAAAGAGATATGAGAGAAAACAATAAAAACAAAGAGAGAAGGAGCTGCAGTCACGGGTTTCCCTTGAGCCCTTGACTCTCATGCATGGTCACCCCCACCACACAGAAACACAAACAACTCATTTTTCACATCCCATCCCCCACCTATATGCACTTTGCTCCCTCCAAGCCCCCACATCCACCTCCCTACCAATTACTTTTCTACAACTAACTCTACATGAATTTCTTTTTTTTTTACAAAAAAAAAAAAATAGTTTTAATTAATGGAATTTAAAAAAGAAAAGAAAAATCTTGTTGAAAGAAAGCTATTATGGGTATATTTTAGAATAATGTTGTTAAAGATATATAATTAGTAAAAACAATAATCGATGGCTTGAAATATTATCACGACATGCATGTATTTATATATAATTAATGGTAGTTTCTTACACTAAATGATCATGGATTCAAATCCTAATAGAATAAAAACTTTGGTTGTATGAGTTAAAATATATAATTAATGATATTTTCTTCAAAATACTAATATAGCTAGCTCAAACAATATTTGCTTCATATATCTTATTTATGCGTGTAATAATCTTATTTAAAAGATTTGATAATTCGTTGAGAGATCTTGGAGGGAAACTTTCGATTGAAAATCATCACAACATGTCATAGCAATATTAAAAAAATATATATTTTTTTAAAAAAAATCAGAGCATTTTAATAACAAATTAAAGCCACATGCAGATGTTCCATAAATTGTGAGATGAAGAGTCACGGATTTATCAAGTACCTATTGGCTTTCCAAGTTATAATTATCGATCTGATTTGATCATGTGGCCTTGTATTGGATCATAAAGGTAGGTACGAAGGAGAAATTATTACGCGGATTTCATTTACGATCTAATCTAAAATTATGGATCAAATAATTAAATCTGTTCAAATTATTTATTTAATAAATCATGTTTAGAGTGTTAATCTTTTTTTTTTTTTTACGTTTAATAGCATATTTATAATTAATTATAAATTAAATAATTAATAATGTATGATGTGGATAAATTTAGTAACGTGTAAAAAATTTATTGGTTTGATTCATGATTTTAAAAAAATGAAAGTCTGTTTAATGATTTTTACAATGTAATTAAAGGATACAGCAATTAATGATTTTCCATATATATGTTTCAATATATAGAGAGACATGCATGATGATAAAATACATTTCTTGCGTTTATAAAATATCTATCTTTCTTTCACCAAATCCACTAGCCATATGCCTGAAAGTCAAATTGACCTATTAACTAATCTCATCTGAAACTTTCAATTGCATTCATTGGCTGACATGGTTTCCTGCCTAAACTTTCTAACTTATCGATACTACTCAAATACACAAAACATGTAGAGGGCTACGTACTACTCTATACTTGCAAACTTTGGTTCACCTTACTGTAAAAAAGAGCTAACTTTTTTTTTTTAATTTAATGATAAAAAGTATTTTCAGATCAGCTAATACGTCAACTAAAACTATAAATTTTCTCTAAAATTAATGATTTTAATAGCATACTCTCAATGTACGACGTCGTTCTAATAGATTCAAGAGAGTAAATTTCTTCACGTGTGATCAATATCTACGTTCGAATTAAAGAAGCTCAAAGAAGGAGCAAGCCACCAGGCCAATCTCTTATATTAGTCCTTTAACTGTTCATAACTAATTAAATCGAATCCTTTATAAATAGTTTGGTTAAATTAGAATTCTGATTAATTTTAATTAAAATTATAAGGTTAATCGATCCATCTATCCTTCCATATTAGGTGTTTTTTCATACATATCCTTATGAAAAAAATTCCAAATATTCTTATTATTCATATTTTCTCTCATTTTGTCACTTTTTGAGCATAAATGTCCCTAAAACCACCAAAACAAAAATTAATTTTCAAAGATCTAAGCAAATAAAAATTAATTTTTAAAATAAAAATAAAAAAAAATTGAAAAACAAAGAAAACCAAGAAAACATAAAAAAAAAAAGGGAAAAACAGAAAAATAAAAATAAGTGTTAAAAATCTATAAAAAATGAAAAAGAAAAACCATGTTTGTAGTGCCTGGCAAATATATACACGAGTTTTCTAATTTCTGGGTTTCCATGTTTTGATTACTTTTTAAAATTAACTTTTGTTTTTTGTTTTTTCAAAATTAATTTTTCTTTTAATAATTGAAGAGACATTTTGTTCAAAATAAACAAAATGACATGTGAGAAAAAAAAGAAAAGAAAAAGAATAACCAACATATAGGACAAAAAAAAAAACCTGTCATGAGAATATATATATATATATATATATAACTCAAATTCAATACTCCTGATCCTATTACTTACCTATTAATTTAATTCTCTAGCCTAGCTTTACTTCTTCTTCTTTTCTTTTTTCTTTTTTTTTTTAATTATGCTTTACAAGTATAATTAATTAATTGTTTTTCTGTGGTCTCTACTTTCTTTTTTGGAGTCAGGATTTTGGGAATTTTATAAAAAAATTCTGAATGTTCTAAGTTTATATGGACGGTGGGTTCTTAATTAATATCGTTCAGATATAAGGCTTAATACAATCAAGCAATCCGAAAATACTTCTTACCGTCAAATAAAAAAATTATAAAATTTCACTTGATAATTTAGGCTATGGATTAAAAAATGGCTATTTCTTATGATATCGTTTTTTTTTTTTTTAACCGAATGGTCAGGCTAAAAATTCTGTATTGGAGCTACTTTGAATGAAAATAGTGAAACAATATTTTTGAAAAACTTAATTGGTTAGATTCAAGGGACCATTTTGAACTTCGAGAAGGGCGGCGACCATATACGCCAGTCTCTTGCTCCGCCTCCGCGGTGGTAAACGATGATTGTGCTAAGTTTTTTAAGAAAAACATTATATAATTGTCCCAATTAATAGGTGAAAAGACCACTGGTTTTATTAGATTGGAATTGAAAATAGAAAATAATTTTGTTACAAGAAAACAACAAAAAGTTCCTACTTGTAATGACAGATAAAACCCTCAACTCTAAAGAAGTTTAGAGCTTAGGGTCCGTTTAATATCTTTGACATGCTAATTTTTGTTTTTTTCCATAATTTTAAAATAATTATAATCTATTTTTGACACAGTCATAATTAACATAAGATACGTTAATATATCTACATCAATAGATATGTTAATATAAAAATCAATATATTTAATCACTACATCGATAGATATACTGATACGACAAATGTATCTTTCTCTCTCACACGTAATTGATTTCGTAAAAATAAAACATAAAGCTTAGAAAAGTGGATAAGAAAAATTAATCTTTTGTAAGATATGTTATTATTATTATTATCTTAATTTTTTTGAATTTTATATTTACTAATTAATTATTTTTTTATTCGATGTGAAAAAACTTTTTTAAAACTTCTATTATTTACAGTTATTTCAAGATCTATTAAATGATTTAGATTTCAAGATTTTTATTAAGGCATATATATATATATATATATATATATATATATATATATATATATTTTGAAATCTCATATCAGATCATATTAATAAATTAAAGAGTTGAAATTAGATTTAGAGTAGAATTGAAGAGTTAAATAAAAATTGCATTTTTAATATAATTGTATGGTTAGAATAAAGAAAGGTCCAAAAGGCACCGCTAAGGGGCTGTGGCCACCCTGGCCTCCTTTTGAAGTGTCATTTTCTCATCTTAAACACCCTTAAGGAATCCCTCTTTACATGTAGGGCCTGAAAGCTATGTAGATCTTTCTATCATCAACTCCCATCTCCCTCTCTCTCTCTTTCCATCTTCTTCTTCACCAAGATATATAGAGAGAGAGAGGAGAGAATGGTAACTTTTTGAGCATATATAGTAAGTAGTCCACCACATTTTTTAACCATGATCACTAGCTTCTTCTTGTACTTTTATCTTAATTAGAATGCCCACTTGCACTCGCACTCGCAATAGCTATCGCAGCAGCACCACTTATTTCGTACAATTCTGTAGTATAAATTAGAGGGAAGGGCCAAACCCAAACTGGATTTTATTTATATATAACCTTGATTACTAGCTAGCTAGTTCGTCTTTTCTAGTTTATGGCAATTGCAGCAACCATGAGCCACAACAACAACAACGATGAAAACAACATTGGTCACGACAACAATAACAAAGATGATGATGATGACCATGAGCATGACATGGTTATGCCTGGGTTTCGCTTCCATCCTACGGAAGAAGAACTCGTTGAGTTCTACCTTCGCCGTAAGGTTGAGGGCAAACGCTTTAATGTCGAACTCATTGCTTTCTTGGATCTTTATCGCTATGACCCTTGGGAACTTCCTGGTATACTGAGCCTTTTCTTTTATATAATATCCTTTCTTCTTCTTCTTCTGTTCTTTCTTGCTCTTCTTCCTAGCTTGGTTTCAAATTATTCCAATGATGGTGCATGATCACTTATATGTATATTTGTGTTGATGATCTCAGCTTTGGCAGCGATCGGAGAGAAAGAATGGTTCTTCTATGTCCCTAGAGACCGGAAATATCGAAACGGGGATCGCCCCAATCGTGTCACGACTTCTGGTTACTGGAAGGCAACAGGAGCTGACCGGATGATCCGAACTGAGAATTCAAGATCAATTGGTTTAAAGAAAACCCTAGTTTTCTACTCTGGGAAAGCTCCTAAAGGAATCCGAACTAGTTGGATCATGAATGAATATCGGTTGCCACAGCATGAAACTGAGCGATACCAAAAGGTACTTAATTTTCTTTATCATATCTCCCACCTGTAAGCTCAATTTCTTGTTTGTGTGTGTATATATATATCGACATGAAGGAAAATGATAATGGAAAAACACAGATATTGATCAGTACTCTCGAAAAAGGATCTCCTTCTTGGTCTTCTTGCTAGAGTCGAATCTTTCTGTGTGAGTGTTCTTGTTTCTTGATGGCGACCAAGCTAGGATCCTATGATTTCTCATCCACATCAATATCTTTTTTCATTTTTTCCATAATCCTTTTTGCTTCTCTCCCAAATCATGAAATATGAAAACCATGTATATATTGCCATCAATTTCAGTCCCTTTACTTTCCCTTCAATGAATAACCCTAGCTATAGTTCTTAGAGGTCTATTAATATACATATCCAAACCTGAGTAGCTTCCTTTAAGCAACTGGATGCAAAGTTAATTGCTCAATTTTTGCTGTTCTAACAAACAAATAGATCAATCCATAGCTAGCACCTAGCTAGCAAAAAGAAGTAGCAAAGGTGCATAAATATGGTAAGCCGGAAGAAATAAAGCTAACGATAAGAAAATTGCTAGGAATAATACTGACATTTAAGTTTCTTCACAAAATTTATAATGGTAACATCAGCATCAGCATGCATGAACTTTAATTCAATGACCCACAAAGTTTCCCTAGATTTCTGCTCTATTAATACTCCCTCATAACTGCAACCGATGCTCATTGTCGGAAGTGGGATAAATTTTCATTTCCTGCAATTTATTTTGTTGTTTCGAAGTTGGTTATTTCCTTCGTTTAGTCATTAATTCTTTCATTCCTTTCCTGGTTTTTTTCAATAAAAAAAAAATCAGGCTGAGATATCGCTTTGCCGTGTCTACAAGAGAGCTGGAGTAGAAGATCACCCATCTCTCCCTCGTTCACTTCCATCACGAGCATCCTCATCGAGGGGGCCTCAATCTGAGAAGAAACACCAAAGTACTCATCTTATGGTGGAAAGATTTCATCCTTTTGTCGGACAATCATCATCATCACAGCAAATTGAAATGGAAAAGATGAGTGAAACAGATGCAAGCAGTAGCTCAGATGTCCCAACAGCTCTTGGACTATCTAAGCATAACATTAATGCCTACCATCCAATCCCTCCAATTAGTACCTCACTGGGACTGCCAGCTTCAGTAGAAGAAGGAATGTTTCTAAACCAGTCCAAGTCTTTAGTCCCCAACTGCACTAACCTCTTCACCGTCACATCTTCCATGTCGTCGAATCCAGTCGATGATCTGCACAGACTAGTTAACTACCAACAAGCTAGCATAAGTCATCATCACCATCAGGATCAGCAGCAGCAGCAACAACAACAACAATTTTATCTTCTTCAACCACCCCAACACCAACCCTCACAGCTCTCTAGCATGGCGCCACAGTCGCAGCCACTGCACCTCAGCATGCTACCAAACATGCTACCAACCACCTTTCAAGACAGACTATGGGAATGGAATCAAATGCCAGACTCAAATAGAGACTACAATAATCCATTCAAGTAACCAATGGAGCACTGCACATATATAGGTAGATTATACTTGATGTTGTTAGTGATATATCTAGTCTCCTTTTATATTTATATATATAATCTACTCTAATGTCATTAGCTTGCTCTTATGACTTAAAAAAGTTAATGTATGATTTCTTGCTCTATATTAGGGTTTTAATTTTCAGTGTACGTACGTAATTTGATTCCTTTTAGTGAATTTTGTTTAGCCTACATATTAATTTTGTGTCTAGAGATTGGTGGCTTTCAAATACTCAGGTTCAAGCTAGAGGGGGCCTCTCTCAATTTTCACATTAATTGTCCCTAGTAAGTGAAGAAGGAAGGCCAATTTACTGCTTGTAGCTAGTTCGATTAATCTAGTTCAATTCATTTCCTTCCCCAAAATTTCTAGTACTGGTCCTCACAAATGTGTGTTAGCCTACAATATATTGAAGAGTTTTAATTAGTAATTAATAGGACTCTCTCTTCCTCTCCCTCCTCCCCGCCCTCTCTCTCTCTCTCAAAATTTAAAAGAGTGTTCAGTATAAGTCCAGAGAATCACGATGCCATATATATGTGATTGATACATAGAGACCATGTGGAGACAAACGTTAATAAACCTTGAAGAGAATTGCAGGGGAGGACTGGACCCATTTCACAAGCCAACATTCAAATGAAGACAGCATATATATACAGATTGTCTCGTTTTGGTTCTTCGGTAGGTGAGGGGACGGAGAGGGTACTAACCCCAAAAAGCAAATCTGTCTTTTTTAACAAACTATATACACACACATATATATACATATTCTTCTAGATAAGTCAGACAATTTTGTGGAAGCTTGATCTTTAAAACTATGGCTGCAGTGAGCATTTCCAAGTTCACAATATCCCCATGCATTTAGACAAACAACTGGATATGTATGAAACCTTTAATATATTATATAACGCAGAAACTACATATATTAAAGCTGATCACATGCACTAAATAGCATAGAGACTGCATAACCTGCCCCAGTTGATTTAGTTGCTGAAAAATGGAGTCTAGGACATATATGGCTGTGAATAATTAGTATTTGGTAGGTTAATTAGTGAAATTAAATTATTACTGCAAAGTCAGTGAGACCCTGCATGTGTACACAAAATGTGGGGATGTATTCTCTTCGTATATAGTGGGATGCTACTGGCTAGCTACTGGCTAGACAGGTCCATTTCCATGACAGTGTGGACTGTCCTCCAGTGCAGCCTAATAGTGTTACATTATCTGTAGACTCCTTTATTCCCTAGCCGATGTAATTCTGTGCTGACATTCCAAAAAGAAACAGCTACATTCAGTTCTGCTTCTTAGGTTGAGGATTGACCTATAGGAAGGTGAAGTTCACATATGGTAACATCCATGTTTTGTGGTGGTATATCCTTGACTTGGGTTAGAATTGGAGTTCCTCAAGTTTTCTATTTTGATTAATATTTCCATTCTACTAAAATTTCACTAATTTAATACATTGGACACTCAGAACTCAAAATATATATACCATTTATTAGGATTTTATCTTTCTGTTATTGTAGCGTTATTCTATTTGAAACGAGAGAGATAAAATTTAATCCTTCTCAACAAATACAATTTTAGGATTCAAATCCTATATATTAGCTATTTTGTCTCTTCATTTTGTAGTATTTTGGTTATTTTAAATGCTTAATAAGTATTTCCTTTACTATAAATATTGCAATCAATTTTACCTAAATTGAATAGAAGTCATTAATTACAAACAATTAATATTTGTATGCTTGAATGTTTTTCTTAAATTTCATGTCTCCTTCTAAATTCAATTTTAATGGTCTATGTATTAAAATAAGCAGGTTTTCTACCACAATTATTTTGCAGGAAACATTATGCTAATTAATATAATTATCTTTATATGTATTATTTTTGTTCTCTTTAAATGGGATCGGTATTGAATCTGATGTTTGTTGACGCAGAGAGGGTAAGAGATGATCTTTTGCTTAAATAATTTTATGGCTATCTTCCTTAATTTAGCTTTAAGATTTTTTAGAATTTGCTATCTTTTATTTAATTAGGCTAGTGATTTATTAAGAAATTAAGAATAACTCTAGGATTCTATTTATTTTATTTTCAGTATTATTATGATCTCCTAATTTTCTATTTAAATGATTGTAATAGTCTTTTTGCAATAAGAGAATTGATGAATAAAAAAATTGATTTTTTCTTTTCTTTTTTCCGGCATTTTCCATTCTGGGGTTCTTTAATACGGACCTAACTGGTGAACAATATTGTAGCAACCACCCTATGACGTTGATCAAGGGATGCTGACCATTTGGGACACCGTTCGAGTCTAAGAAGCAATGCTGATACATCTAAAGCAGCAGCATTACCGTCACTTTGAGTAGCTTAATAGGAGTTTCACAATTATCGGAGAAGGTTTTGATGTCTTGATGTTAGATGTCATTATATTGTATTAAAATTACAATAAGTGTTGCACTATTAAAGAAACTCGAGTCAGCCTATTTGTAGTCATGATAATATTCTTGCTTTTGAAGAAATTTTAATTGAAGATTATAATTGATGAAGGGATGATAGAATTGATGTCGTAACTTTTAACTAAGATTTGAGTGGTGAGAAATTGAAGGACTGACTTTCTAATATTTGTAATATAATGACAGAATATTTGAGAGTGTCTGAGAAAGATGTGATAATTGGTGGAGATCAGGTTCAAGAGAATACTTCCTCGTGGTAGAAACAAATCCCAGAATACTTTGATAATGAAGGATAAAATGCATGTTCGAACTTGATTCCGTATGAGACAATTATTGAGAGTGAACTAGATTTGTTCTCTTGAATTACGAGCTAAAAAGTATATAATCAAATTAAGGACACAATTCAAGTTAATTTACTAGCTGAACAAATTACAGCATGAGAAAACCGAACCAGCCGGCACGTAATGGAGTGGAAAAAGTAAGCCTTGTTAGTGCCCTACCAAATAATTAAGTTTCAGTTGCAGAAGTAAATTTTGAAGAGGTTAAAGGGGAAGCTTCGGAAATGGAGAATATAAGTGTCTATGATCCTATGGATGAGAAATATAAAGAAAAGGGCAAGCTCCTTTTCCCACATAAATACAGTGAGCAAATTAATTTTACCACCAAAAAGAATAAGAAAAATCATGCTGTATAGGTGTAGTCATGCTTTGTGGAAACTTGTTCTTATGTTCCTGTATAAGGAGAACTCAATATTTGATGGAGAAATTCGCAGTAGAAACTAAGTTATTCTTACTGATTATGATGAAGATAGTGAACAATCAAAATACATATATATATATAGTGGAGTAATTTCAGACCAGCTTTTGTACGGACCTAATACTTCCCCGCGTGCATGTATTTACATAAACATTTGCATGTCAATAAAAAATATATATATATCATTCAAAGGAAAAGAAAGGCAGTGGCCCTTAGCACGGTTTAGAGGGCAATTTTTGCACACCCGTGTGTGTTTCAATGGAAAAACACCATCTAAGGAGAGGAAGAGACACACGGATAGTGTCATGTGGCATGGTTTGAAAGGCAAATTTAGCATGCCCATGTGTGTGTCTCAAGGAAGAGGCGCCATTTCAAAGAAAAAGAAGGCACACAAGCAGATTCATGCAATACAGTTTGAGGGACAAATTTAGCAAGCCCCGTGTGTGTGTCTCCTAGAAAAATTTTCAATCCAGAGAAAAAGAGGCACATGGGTAGAATGCTTTCCTTCCTTAAGAGTCACACGGCCATGTATCTTCCTAGAGTCCCTATTGGCCTTATTTTGATGTACATTGGCTGGGCTTATCTACTTCAATCTACTATCTCCTATACAATGGATATTAGTATATTCAAAGTAAAGTGCACCCTTTTTTATTCCTTATCATGTCACATTTACATCCTCTAGGATTATATACAATCAAAATTTGCATTACAATGCAAGTGCTTAGCATGATGAGAAAGAGGAGAGGGATGTATCCAACTAATCTGTCGCTCATAAAAGTCGATCACTCATAACAGTTGACGAGCAACAAAAGAGATGAACTTTAACTTCATGCCTTCTTGATACCTAAAATGAAATTAAATTTTTAGTGACATGCTACTCAATGAGAGATAATTATTATCGATACCATAACACACATTCATATTACCAAATAAGAGCATATAATTAATTCATATAATTCATGCATCATCATGTTACATGTATCCTTTTCTTGTCGGTTATGACCTAAACATGTTAAGTATCGCCACGGCAACGTTTAACTTGAAACTTATAAACCGTATAGTTGACCAGTTTTTATAACTTGTATTTGACCTATTGGGTCCTTATAATTTGTATTTGCAAATAGTTGAACATGTCGGTCATAACCTTACTCCTTTTAATCTCGTATGCATAATGAATATCTCATATAACACATATATACTTATACATATCATCATATATAAGTCATATCATAAATCATATACAAGTATTGATTCACCATAAAAATTTAAAACATGTCATTAATATCAAGTAGCAAATAAATAAACATAGCATCAAACAATTATTAGGTATCTCAAATGTATCCACTCACAAAATTGGAGTCTCCTATCGTTCTTCAATCCATCATGTCTTATATTTTGTGATCTTTAAGGTCTAAAACATATAAATAAATGATCTCATAAGTCATTTTATCATACGTGAACATCAAAACTCCAAAATGTGAAAATATGAAACTTTGGTCAGCCTAGCCTCATTAGCGAGTAGCAAGCACATTTCTTTACTCTTTTAGCCCAAGTTCATAAAATATAAATCCAAATGACCCAATTCCAATTTTGTATAAGACTAGACTCATATTACTATAACATATCTAAAAATCAATCCTAAATTTCAAGTACACAATTTATGAAAATTTTATGAAATCAGCTCCTATTGCAGAATTTTATGCCCAAAACGTAACAACTAGATGATGAGAAGCTTAGAGAAAAATAAAATTTTTTGTTTTGACTCAAATTTGGTACGTTATTAAATCAGATCATAATCTACAACTTTCATGTTTTGACAAGATTCAGATTCTAACCCTAAGATATCGAAAATTGCAATTCAAAATCGTGACGTAATAAGAACTTGACAAAAATCACAAAATACCTCATCTTTCTTTAAGATTACTCAAGAACTTGATTCAATTTCTCTTAATCTCGAGTTAAACCCCTCTAAGTCAACTCTTACCCTTGAATTCTTCTTACCCTCGGATGGCTTTAGATTGGTTTTGGTTGCTAAACTAGGTTTCCCTCGTGATTCCTCACTTGCTCTTAATTTCCACTCTTCTCTTGCCTTTCTCTTCAACCAGCCATGGACAACTCAATCTCTCTCTCTCTCTCTCTAAGGGTGGTCGGCCATAAGGTTAGAAATTATAAAATCTGCTCTTAGTAGAGTGTAGAGAAGTTAGGATAAGTTTAAGTGATATTTTGGTAAAGCTTTTATAAGTCCCTTAATTAAGTTTAATTTGACATTTAACTTCCTTGACCACTAAACATATTTCTTAAACTCCTCTAACATGTCATATGTATATCAATTTATACTGATGTATGCCTTTATGTATGCATGTATGCGTGAAGAGTAAAATTTTCGAGACAAGGATATTACAGACTTTCATATGAATCGAGACTAAATTTATTATATTCTATAATTAACCAATGCTAGAATACGTTTAGCTTTTGATAGTAAACAATCATGGTCTATTTCATCTCATCCTGTAAATAGAAATTGAGACTTTGTTATGAATGTTGGTTTGATTTGGAAAATTGGAAGGTTTTCGGGGTTGAGTGCTCATAGAAAGGAGGCTTTAGTGCTTGCATTGGAAGATTGGATAGTAAAAATGCTTACATAGTCTTCTCTTGGTTTGCAATAATTTAATTTCAATTTATGGAATTCAATCTTGGAAATCTATATTAGAAATTTAGATAGAAAGGTTGTGTTCATATGTATAAAATAAATCTATTTTGTAGAAAAATATTTTAACATAAAATGAAAAATAGGATTTTGTGTTCAAATATTATTATTTTTATCATTTAGAGAATTATAGAACCTTGATTTTTCAATTCTCCAACTTACATCTAGTTTTAGAAAAAATCTTTTTATGCTTCCAAGTTTCTCCAATTAATTTTTTTTTCGAAGTAACAAAAACATCTTTTCTTTCTTACAAAAATTTTCTAAACTCGCTGTTTCTATTAGTACAATAGTTCATTTCTCTGTTTTTTAAGGAAATTTTAAAAGATACGCAAGTCATATTAATCTCTTTCATTATATGTTTCAATCTGATTTTTTTAGGTTTTTTATTATGAAAAAAAAGTACAATATTATAAATAATATCACTCGCTCGCTCAGGTAATAAATTAAATGAAAAGATGTAAAACTTAATTAGCATAATATTATAAGAAAATAACATTAAAGGGTTAAATAAATAACCATATATACGAAAGAATTTATAAATTTTTTGTTTTTTTTTTTTTTTTTTTGACATGTTTTTCAATTTTCAAAGTGGAAAATAAGTTTCCAAATTCACCAAATAATTTTTTTACATTGTCCACTCATGAAAATGAAAGCTAGAAATGGAAAAGAAAACTAGAGTTAGAAAATGAAAAAAAAACTATTTTGAATAGTTTTCTGCCATTTTAAATTTCTCTTGATAAACATGAAGATATATATACTCCATATAAATAATTCATAATTATAAACAGAAGCTGTATTGGATACATTTTAAATACGGACAAAGCCAATACATATCAGACATGTGAAAACACTGTAAAAAAAAATAACAATAATAAAACAAAAAAGATTCAAATGAAGATATGAGAAAGACATGACTAGCATGTGTGGTGAACATCAATCAGGATCCATGAAGGACACGTTCAGGATATATTTTAGGATTAAATTTGTAATTTTTTTTTTAAAGAAATCATAATTCAAATATTATTTTAATGTTATATATATATATATATATATATATTCCTCACGTATCGTATTATTGACGTCAAAAATAAATATTTCAAATTATAAACACCGACGAATAGTAGATTGATCAAAATAATAAACCGATAGTCAACAGGATCGATATTCAATAAATTGTTTTATGTCTATATTCGTTCTACTTTCTTGGACTAAAAAGGTATTATCATCGATATTATTTTAAAATATTCTACATACTCTACGCTTCAAGATTTTCCTATTTAATTTTTGTAAATGATTCAAAGTCCTATTGTGTTAGGTTTTCCTATTTAATTTTTGTAAATGATTCGAAGTCCAATTGTGTTAGGGTATTTGTTTTCCTATCTAGTTTTGACATTAATGTTTGTCTTCGTAATTTTTTTTTCCTAGTTAAAGAGATTCATGATAAAAAAAATATATATTTTTTTAATGAATCCAAACTAATTTGACAGAAACATCCAAAAAAGCTAATTGACAACAATTGTCTTACTCCTACCTTCCATGTTGATGGAATTGAGGTTTTGTATTTCATATTATTTATCTTGCATTGGCGCCAAACAACATTAAAAAAGGATTCATTTTTAATCATTCTGAGATAAGAAGAAATGTTTACTTTGTTAGTCGAGGTAAAGAAGAGTTAACCTGCTCAAACATTTCAACTATGAAAAGTTCAAAAGCGATAGCAACTACTACAATGTCAGGAAATTATAGCTATGTTCATTAGACCTAATAGATTAGAAGATTTCTTTTGGCCATAAATAAAATACCGGTCTAGGACTGTTCCATATTAAGCATAGGCAGTTCTTTTGTCAGACAAGATCCTTTCAGCCATCCTGCCTGCAGAAGGGGTGCTTTTGCTACCGCTACCGCTACCGCCAGCCTTTCTAGGAACAGACCGTTGCATGATTCGGATTGGGATCCCCCCAAGTCGAAATCTTCCTTTAAAGACTTCGTCAAGAACCTGATGTCTGTATCTGAAAGCTGTGTCTTCCCACTCGTGAAGGCAACAAAAGTGGGTGGACGGGCCTTCACTTGGGTGAAATACTTGATCGTGGGTTGCGCTGCCTGATCTTTCCAGGAATGCCTGCTCATAACCTGTGCAAATAGGCACACAAAGAGAGTTCTTTTTACCGAAACCACACGGGCGTGCACATATATATGGTTACAGAGATGGGAATGATAAGGGTAAGTGCTGACCTTACGCAACCAACGGTTAAGCCGGGCTGTGGACAACCTTAAGCACCATTTTTCATATGTATCAATGACCTGACGCATGACAGCAATCCGGCCCTTGCCCTCTAATGCTGAAGTGAATACGACTGGTATTCCTGTGACCTGCAGACAAAGCCACATTAATGCTACATCACCTAACAATAGAAAAGGTAAATGTTTCAATACAAGTGGATGGTGAAAGCAAAGCATCACTCCACAAAATGCATCTGAATATATCAGAATTTTCTGATTCTTCTGGCCTTTTTTCCCTCTTTCTACAGATACTTTTCAACCAAACTATACATTAGGTCCAAGAGAGTCAATACTTGGGCCGTTGTTTGTTGACCTCTCAACCAACCACATCACCCTCCATGGCTCTGATACAACTGAAAATTGGCAACAGTCTTGCTAGTGGCTGTATGTGCACGCATGCGTCAAAGCACCTAAGATAACACAACCTAGGCATAACTATAAAATAACAGTGGCAAGAAAATATAATAGGACAAACCTGAGGTATAACTGTCTGAATTTCTAAAGGAACAGCTTCCATGACCTTGTCAAACAACATTGAATTTCGTTTCCCTTTTAGAAGATCCATCTTGTTCACAATAATGACCAAGCCACGGCCCTCTTCCACTGCCCTTCTTGCTATAACTACTTCAGCATGTGTCATACTACGTCTGGATTTTGCAATCTTCTCCCATACACAAATAGCATAGCAAATAGAAGTATTAGAAATGGGAACATACCAGCACCAAGTTAAAATATTGGGCAGTGCATGTTCTTCATGTGTAAATTTTTCCAATCATTCTCATTTTATTGCATTTAACTCTCAGATCCATCTATATCAAGGATCACAATCTTTAAAAGGACTGGATGGTTCAAAAACCTTCAGTATTTTTGTCAATGTTATTTTCCGATAAGTCAAATTAAAAAAACACTCAAGACTTAGTCCTATTGATTATGCATAGTTCTTCCTACTAACAGGTAAAGTAACAGACAATAAATATGAGACACACCTCTTCAGCATCAAGTACCAAAGCAACAACATGAGCCCTCATCAAATTCTTTCTTGATTGCATCACACTCAATGATGATGGTCCTTTCTCTAGACCTGTTCTTTGCAACCAACCTGCAGTGTCAACCTGAATAAAAAAACCCAATACGTTATGTCACAACTATAATAATAAATCAATCCAAAACCAAGGCTCGCAAAAAGCAATTAAAAGAATATTACTTCATAAAGTCTTATTGGACTAGATCCAAGTGTCCAATGTATTTCAGTTGATAGCAATAGCATCACTACTAAAAGTTAGATCCAAATTTCATGTCTACATATGCCACTAAAGAATGTAATGAGAGTGAGAATTTCAAGATTGCATTAGAAAAATTATAGAGTTAAGGAAAACTACAATCCACTAAAAGCCCCAAAAGTCAAAATAGAAATGCTAAATGTTTGAGAAACTACCTCGATCAAGAATTTCCAATGCCAAAACAAACTCTTCCTCTCATCACAATCCCAACTATCCCAAACTGTAAACACTTATGCACCACCACATCAACCTGAACGTTGGCTGCTCATACAAACTACAATTACAGTTGTTCTTGAACTAAGCCAAGCGTCAGTTGTCCCCTTGTTACACCAAACTATATTGTTTTTCAATCTGAGCCTGTCCCAATTGAGAGAGCAACCAACAATTAACCCTCTGTGCATCTTCTTTTTATTTATATTTCTTGATTTACTCTTTTTCCATCAGAGATTCATTCGCTTCCAAAACTAAAAATATGAGTGAGGTGCATAAACCCCTTGAAGATGCATCTATGTAACTAATAGCATCCATAAGCACAAGAACGGATAGAGATTACTTATCCGAACCCTGGAAAACTGATATACTGTGAACTTGCATGATTTATCAAAGCAAAGATGCATTAGACCTAAAATAAAACACGAAACACAAAAAGCAGATTATTACCAGATATATAGTTCTTCCCTGATATTCGAACTGAGTTCTGACAGAATCTCTAGTCAAACCAACCTCTGGACCCACCAGCACACGTTCTTCTTGTAACAAAGTATTCAACAAGGTTGACTTTCCAACATTTGGTCGTCCTATGATTGCTAACTGTAATGGTAACTTGGACTCATCAACTTCACCAGCAACATCATCAACATTACTGGTGGCACACCCATTGTTTTGATCGCAATTATCTTGGATTAATCAAAAAAGCATAGCACGGTTATAAACTGATTATAATGGCATAACCAACAACACACTATGATTAAGATGCAATGATTACGGAGCCAAGAAAAGAGAAATGATAACTTATGTTAATTTGATTCTTGATTTAGATTAAAAAAAAATTGTAAACTTAGTCTTTTAAAAATAAATTTTACTTAGGAATATTAATACTATTTAGTAGTATTAGTTTTATTTAGGAAACTAGAGTATTAATCAGGAGTATTGATTATTTATGACTTTCACAGATACTGTGGATCCCAATTTTTTTCCTAAACAAGTCCTCATCTACCCTAACTTCACATACACCAAACCCTAGCTCTCAAGAAACCTTTGTGAGACAAATTAGAACTTGTCCCTCGTCACTATGGATGATTAGAGGGCCATTGTCTATAACACTGCACAAATGCAACCAAGAGCATGCAAGTTTGAAGCCTATGAGCAGCAATTTGATACAAAAATATGCGTGAGACTGTCGTCGAAGTCAAGGGTGTCCATCCAAAGACCTGCTTTGTGTGACCATAACCAATAACTGTTATGGAGTCTATGAACTGATCGACCACAATTCAATCTCATAAATGCATGGTAGATTAGGCTTTAGGTAAATGCCAAAGTCTACCACTATTCATTTAAACTTAAATATAAGGCTATTTAAACCTAATTAGAACATTCATCAATTACACATTAGTTTAGCAACATAAAATTCTCCCACTAATCATAAGGTTATCAATTGAATAAAGAAAATTTATAGCATAAGTAAAAATTCTCTTTTATAGACATCAAACCCTAGTCCCAAACCCAACCAAAACACTAAAAACTTCAGTAAAGTTAGGGCTTTCCTACTATCATCTAGTTGCAACAATACTTCCTCCATTACAAACATATATTCATGTAGTTGATTGAACAAGGTCAGACTAAACCATTGTAGGTTGAGTTGGGTTGAGGACAGAGAGAACAGAATGGAGATAAGCTTAAAGATCAACGGACTTTGTACAAATCTTAAAGAAGATGCTGCAGAAACTCGACCTGAGGACAAAGTTTTTAAAGAAAAGAGCCATCAACCCCATCTTTTATGATACTGCTGTTCTTCACTTATCTAATTAATGATCACATGAAAAAACTTGCCTTAATGTATAAATATTGAACAAATCATTCCCCACTCTCCAAATACAGGAAATATTACAAAATCATCAGGCTACTGCAGAATTCTCAATGAGAGCAAGAAGAAGGATAATTATATTTTTAATGAAAAAGAGAGAGAGAAGGGGTATATGCTGCATAATAGGAGAGATGCTAATCTTTTTTTATTTTATAAAAAAGCTTGACCAAAAAAACAAAATGCATTTTACCTAAATTTGTAGAACTCTTAAAGAGTTTAATTTCATTGCTTTTTCATTTTGTATACTCGTGCATATTCATCTTCAAAGAATGTCAAAATGGGAGTCATGTCCACAATGACTTGAGGATATAACACTCTCTTTTCAGATGCCTACTCACAGACTTTGATCATTTGCCAGATAAAATTCTAGATTTGTGCTCGTAAGTCATGAATCAAGATAAATAGAGGACCTCATTCAGTCAAGCCATCAAGATGACACAGGTACCCCTATGGAATTACATATATAACTTGTGCAGCTGGCAAGCAAGCTCAAAATAAAAATAAAAAATCTGCAAAAGCTTGCAAAAATTTATCAAATCCTATAAAGCAAAGGTTATCTTACTGTTTAAAACTTGGAGCATGTAATCCTCAATCAAAGGCTGAAGAGCATCATGGAGTGCTGTCATACCCAGTCCTGTCTCAGCAGAAATAGCGATAGGATCCCCAAATCCTAGCATGCGGGCTTCATCAGCAGCATCAGCAATAGAGCCAACACCATCACAAAGTGATTCGGATTTATTCATTGCAATTATAGGATTGATTCCTTGTGCATGTTTGCGTAACCACTTCCCAACCTCCATATCCAATGGATGCAATCCAGCTCTGATCACAATATAACACCAAGAAATGGTAAAAAGTTTGCACCTACGGGTATTATACAATGGTCGATGCTAAGTTCTAAGAAGGCATCAAGCAAAATATGTAAGAGTTAGTAACATGTTTCAGCTCCCTTAAAAATAATTCTACTGTCTATTTCTGCAGAATGTAGGGGTACAAACTTGCTAGTCAGACACTAACGTTTCACATAATGCAAAAAAATCCAACATCGCATGCAACTTGGCAATATATGCCCCCATTGTTTTTCATACATGGCATGCACTCTTTGCATTTTTCTACTTGGACGCATGCCATGTTTCACGACTTTCCCAACTTATTTACCATCTTGTCATTTTGAAGCGAATTCAAACTTAAGGTATAGACTGACCTCACATCTATCAAAAATACTGCAAATTGAGTTCTTGCTAGCACATTTGCAGTCATGCTAGTTGTCCTCTGAAGAATAGAACCTGAAGCTGCTTCTGTTTCTAAGCCAGCTGAGTCCAACACTCTAAACCGCAAATCACCCAGTTTTGCAATGCCTTCTCTTATATCTCGAGTAACATGATCAGCTGGTGTGTTATACACAAGAGCTTCCCGCCTCCGAATCAGCCTATAGATAGCGCCAAATAGATTAATAAACAAAAAAAATATCATAGCAACATCGCGCAATTGCATCAAAAGGGTCTTGATGTTTTACAAATACACCCAATAAAACTAACCGATTGTATAAAGCTGATTTCCCCACATTAGGACGCCCAACAATAATGACAGTTGGAAGCAGGTTCGTGTCAATTTTGGTAAAGTCAATCGGTTTTTCATGCACAACCTTGACTTTCTTGTCAGTACCACCATCGTCAGAACAAAAATCAGCCTGCTCCAAGTCGATACTTCTTACATCTTCAACTGAGCCAGAATCCAACTCTGACATCTCCTTTTGAATCACCGAGCCATACCCCCGATAAAGGTGCCATCTTGGGGTTAACTGACAATACTTCGAATCAAGAGGTATAAAAGTACTTCCATTTATAATGCTGGCATTATTAAACAATGATCCTGTAAAGCAATAACAAGTTTGATGTGTCCAAAATATGCTTACCCGTCAAATGCTAGATCAAACACTAAAAAGAACGGAACAAGAAACAAAATATAATTAGTAGTTTTGAAGAACACTTACTGAATGAAACTATAAATAGGGGATTACTCTCATTGTTCACTTTAGAAAAAGTGAGCAGCAGCTGCCACTGCTAATGCTTCTATGTAGGATTCCTAAACCATGATGCCTCTTTCGGGCTGAAAGAGCCCAAACCCATGAATGAGACATACAATTTCAGTACCAACCCATCAGAACTTGTCACTTAAAAAGAGAGACAAAATAAAATTCAATTCTTCGAATCTACTATATGCCTTGTAACTGCAATAAAAATCAAACAATAATCAAAACACTTAAAACGAAACAATAAACAGCATAAAGCGTGGACAAAGTAACCCATTGATGGGCTTGAGATGCAGAAAACACCAAAAAAGGGCCATTGAAAAATCTTGAACTATGTTGGGTCGATTTCTTTTCATGTGGTTGGGGAATTTTATCGAACACTTGGTGACATAGGTTTTTGTTTCTATAGGATTGAATCAAAGCAAGAAATTGTTGTAAGAAAAGCAAAGTAGGCACCTACTCACTGCTGCTCTGCTTAAAATGGGCTCCCACTTCTGCCTTTCTTTTTCCTTTTTATGCTTACAGTAACAAAATGTTAAGCTTCATACCTTCGTTTTCGCCGCTTTTAAATGCTTCGTTTCCTGCGGCTGCCGACCCTCTAAAGTCTACAAGATGTCAGAAATTTGAATTTGCGCGAATTTAAATCCTCAGAGAATAATTTTTTACAATTTAGGTACCGAAGTATTCAACAATAGTAATAATAATAATAAAAATGGAAAACGTCATATATAATCCCTCACAAAATAGGTTTTTTCTTAAAAAAAGAAAAAGAAAATATAATATAGATGAAGAAATTCATTAATGAATAATTGAATCTGAATATAATTTGGAGTTTCTAATAAAATTTAAAAACTCAATAAAAAATTGGTAATGCAAATATAATTTTTTAGTAGTTAAAAACATATCTAAACTTATGAATGTTTTTTTTCTTTAAAACTTGTTTCTTTCTTCCTAACCACTAAAAAATTAGCAATTAAAAAAAAATATTAGAAAAAAAATTTTTGAAAAAAAATATTAATAAATTTTGACACAATTTTTAGTAAAAAAAATAAAAATAAAAAGTCAATTGCATGCAAATCATGTATACTTGTATTGTTAAAAGTGACAAAAACCTAATAGTGTGGTCTAATTTTAAATAAAAATAGTTAAAAAAGATATAATTCGAAATTAAAAATGAAGAGATTGATTATTACTTTTCAAATGATATAAATTTTAGGAAATGTTTAAACAATTTAATTTAAAACATTACTATATAGTTAATAAAGGACTTATTTGAAATTTACACAAAAGGCCGCCTCGTCTTCGCTAATTTTTTGCAAAATAGGTTTGTATTGAAGCCTGACCAGAATTGGCCCGAATAACCGGGCCAAGCCCAGTCTATAAAAAATAAAGGAAGCCTTCAGTATCAAATATATATACTCATTTTCAATTGAGTACTAAATCTATGAATTTTATTAATTTAGATCCCAAACATTTCAAATAATTCTCAATCAAATCTTTTTGTTAATGCTCATCAATATTTTTGTGAATTTTTCTTCTAATTAATGTTGTTTGAGTGCATAAATATGAAAATTAAAACAAAAAATGTTAATAATATTCATTCATTATTCTATCAGTTTTTTTTTAATCACCAACATTTTCTAAAATAAAATATGCATATTAAATGAATTGACAAAACTTAATTGATAAAATTTATATATTTAGAATGCAATTGAAAATGAGTATATAAGTTTGATACTAAAAAATAATTTAAATAAATTATTCAATTTCTAGCAAATTTAATATAAAATTAGGGTTTTAAAAAATGAATTAGGATATATCATTTGATTTTATTTGATCCAAATTGAAAGACAATCTAGGACAGTTTTGCTTTCATGAGCAAGTACGTGAACCAAAAGTAGGGATAAAAGAGTGTATTGCCCTGCCCAATCATCCCATTTTATCCTAATTTCATTCTTTTGACAACGACTAATGATAAAACGACACGTGTCATTCACATTTCTCCTGCTCTCTTGTAGCCGGTCTCGCAAAAAGTCGGAGATTTGTTACTCTTGCATGCAGTTTCTTTGTTATAGTGTTGGTTTAAAAATAAAATAAAATAAAATAAATCCACCCAATCCGATAGTACCCGCGTTATTTTGAAAACATCCCGTGTCAAAATTACTGAATCGGATATTTGACATTTTCTCAGCGCATCTCTTATGATTATTTTGTATTTTTTTATAATATTATAATACCAGGTACATTAAGCAAAATATCCGATCAAAGTGGACCGGCCTCCATCCTGCGTGTTACCACAACTAAGAAAACAAACAGAACCATAAAATATGCTCCACTTTTTCCTTTTTTTTTTCTTTTTTTTTGGTTTTTCAAATTTTAAAAGTAAAGATATTTGAAGAATTAATTTTTATAAATTAGATTAGTTCTCGTAATTATATTCTCGGGTTTCGATTATAGTTTTTCTTTTAATAATTCAAGACGAGACGAGACGAGACGGTATACATAGGAAAGCTATGTATGAGGGAAAAAAAAAAATTGTGATTTTTATGCTATTAAATAATTAATATTCTGTTGAATATATTATTATATGAATAATAAATTCAACTGTCTAAGTCTGAATGGATTTATAGAGAGAGAAAAAGAAGTTTCTGTTTACCCACCAATCAAATCGGAAAAAAATTAAAACAAGAGAAAGGGAGGAGAGCAGCAAACCCTAGGAGTAGGAGAGGAGGGTCTTTGTTTCTTTCAACAAAAACAAAATTCCCATTAACCAGCACGCGAAAACCCTAATTAAATACTTCAATTAAGACCACAAAAACTGCATTATTATCATTCTCTAATTTTCATTTTCTAGATAGATAGATAGATAGAGATAGAGAGAGATTGTGAATGGAGGGAACACCGCACCCAATACCGCGTACCGTTGAAGAAGTTTTTAGTGATTTCAAAGGCAGGCGTTCTGGTTTAATCAAGGCTCTCACTACCGGTTTGTTCTTAATTTTTATTTTCATGACTAATTTTACCTTTCTTATGCTTTATTTCTTAATGGGTTTTGTTTGTTTTTGAAATTAGTTGATGGATTTGTTTCTTTCTCGCAGATGTTGAGAAGTTTTACCAGCAGTGTGACCCTGGTGGGTTTATCTCTAATTTTCTTTGACTTTTTTGGTGATTTTATTTGGATTTTATGTGTTTTACGTAAATTTTGCTGTACTTTTTTTTGTTATTTTTTAACAGAACTTATTACTGTGCGTGAAGTTTATGATTTTGTTTCTTTAAAGTGTTTTTTGACCGTTTACAGTATGAATTTTACTTTTTCTTTTGTTTTCAAGTTTGGATATTTTTCAGTATAGGATGTCTTGAGCTTTGTCTCTCTGTTGCTGTTGCTGTTGCTGTTACTGTTGCTGTGTTTTTTGGGCTATGTTTTCATTATTTCGTACACCATGTGCCCGCTGTGTTATTTTGTGAGGAGTGAACTACTGTAATATGGTTACGGCGGTTTTGATTTTAACAAAATACAGCTGTATTTTTCAGTATATATCTTTTTCCAGTCTAAATTCGTAGGAGTTTCATGCACTGAAATTTCAATATCCAATCAGCTGAGGCTTGCTGTGACTGCAAACCTTTCTCCACATGGCTGCATAACCTGATAAAATTCCCAATGTCTAGCGTTTTAAAGTGGCCCATTATCTTTTTAGTTTGACAGTTGCTGTTAATTTGCATCCGTTGTCCCTCATTCTCAACTGCAAGCCTGATATGGGATTACTTCTTTTTCCAAATTAGTCATTGAGCATGTTATGTTTTCTATATTTGCAATAATCACCTGCAATGCAGATTGCTGATCTTCATGATTCAGTTTAAAACATTACATCACCATTTTGAGAAAATTTACCGTTTAGGAATTTTGACATCCAATTGCATGGCTGACTGTTCTCCGGAGTTAGCTTCCTCCACTTGTGAACTGTATTAAAGAAAATATGTGTACCTAGACTAGGTAAATTCTAGCATGTGCATGTGCGCGTTCACATATATACATATAGTATCTTTAGTATGGAAAGTGCAGGGCAACAAGCGTGCATTCGTATCATTGTAACAAAACAAAGAAAACCAATATCATGATTACTGATGCAGTTTCCTGCTTATCTCATGTTGCAGGAATGTCAACTATTATAATTTATAGCATCTTCTTTGTGCTTTGTGAATGATATGCTTTCTCAAGTAGCGATTTTATTCCATTTTATTTATATTTATTTTATTCTTTTGAGGTAGATTACGGAGGATATCTCTAACATGAGCTTTAAAAGAAGGTTGGAGGTCAATGATTTGTGGAAATCATAGTGTGTGCACCTAGTCAACCTATCTTAGTGTCTTACCTAAGTTTTAAAACCTTTTGATATGAATTTTCATTCTTAAATTTGTTATGCCTGTACAATGTTTAAGCTTTTCCACTTCCAGAATTATTTGCCTATGTGATGCAACTGGAATGTAAATATGTCCAGGTACTGTTGTAATGTGGTATGGATGTAATGGTTTTGGGTAAAATACTGGAAAATATAGTTTGAACACTGATATTTTGTTTTGAATCAACCCTTTATGTAAATCCCTTTGGAGGATTGCTTGCAAACATGCCAACTTAGACAGTTAGGTTTTTAGGTTACTTTTGGCAAATAGGAATGGAATGAAGGAATAGTGGAAATCGATGAGAGAGAGAGATCACTATTGTGTTTGGTAGGAATTGGTTCAACATGACACATATAACAATTAGTTGTGGAGGTGTGGCTGCAGTGCAGTGGCAGCAGTTGTGGTGATAGTGGTAGGGGTGGTGTTATGATGGTGGAAGTGGGGGCAGTTTGGGTGGTAGCAGCAATGATAGTTGTATGAATTTAAAATCTTCTCCCATTCCTTTTTATTGGCACCATTCTGTTTTCATTCCTAGACTTTTATGGAAGGTTACTATACAGACTTTCAAAACGTTAGTGTCACCATGCCAATGGTACTCAATCGTTGTTTGTTTCTTTTCTGCATTTATAGCAGGGTATGGATTTTTGGGGACATTAATGCTGGTTTTTATAGTTTATATCCTTCCTTTTAGTGTTTTTTCTTGATAAAGTGTTTGGAAAAGTGATATAACATCTCATTCTTAAATGCATATAATTTTTTGGACTTTTATGGTCAGTCCTTTAACACTTGGGAAAAAAAAAACATATTCTTAACTATTGTTTCTTTTGAGTCACAAAGTTAGAATGATGAATGCTGCAATCATGATTTTAATTTTGGGATCATTTACTTTAAGTTCATACCTAGACATAATCCCTCTTGCACTGTTGTTTGATGTTACAACCAAATGTTTGGTTGGTCATATCCTACAGTGTGCTTCAACATCTTCATGAGTTAGAAGCTAGCATGAAATTTCTTGCCCGTTCAAATATTTCATTTTTGTATTTGTTTATTTATTTGTTTGTTTCTGATGATATCAAATTCGAGTTTGCAGATAAGGAGAACTTGTGCCTATATGGACTTCCAAATGAGACATGGGAAGTTAACCTGCCTGTGGAGGAGGTGCCTCCTGAACTTCCTGAGCCAGCACTAGGTATAAATTTTGCTAGGGATGGGATGCAAGAGAAGGACTGGTTATCCCTTGTTGCAGTTCACAGTGATTCATGGTTGCTTGCCGTTGCATTTTATTTTGGTGCACGTTTTGGGTTTGGTAAGAATGAAAGGTATGGTGCGGTTTTCTTCTTGCCAAAATGGCCTTAAGATGCTGTTTTAATATACTGCTGGTCTTGCCAAGTTTAAATTTGAAATGTACAAGGGCAAACCATGTTATTGTCTTTTCCCTGAAATGTATAATTTTGCACCCGGGCAGAAATTTGTATTGGACGTTTCTAGTTTTGTTCTTTTCATCAACTGAGTGAGCGGACTGCTATCTGGCTCCCTGTTGGCTTCTTATCTGTGCAATTTGCTTTGGATTGACTTGTTTTTGCATTTTAATTTAGCATTCACTTTGCGTGTGATCTTATCACTCGGTTATGACCACATATGTAGTTGACAATTGACATGAACCATGAAACATCTGGAAAAGTCACCTTTAAGGGAAAAAAAATCCAAAATTGTATTCATTGATTTGAGGAATTAAATTGTTTCTATGCTGTTTGGAATGGTATCATTTTTTTTTTTCCATGTGCAGTTTAGTTGTTTCCACGGGCTCAAATCAATCTGGTGCCTCCTTTCTCTTTTGTTTCTTTTTATTTCTGTAGTTGGTTAGCTTTATTGCCATCTCTTTGAGGGCATTAATGTCAAAACATGGTTCAATATTGCAGATGTGGAATGATTTTGCCTACTGTTGCTTTGAATGAGATATCGCATTGATATTGTTGTGGTTTACTCGTCTTCGTATATAAGGACTCCTTTTTGAGATGACATGTATAGGGAGTTTTGTTTGTTTGTACAATCTTCTGAGTCCTAGGTAAAAATTTAAACACTTATCTTGCTTGCTCCTGTTGCCTTTTTCCCCAGTTCTCATCTAATTGATCCTCACTGTTACTCGTCCAAGTTCATCATCTCTTGTTCTTTTTACTGTTATTACTAGTATCATCATATGTTTCAAGTTGGGGGTATATTAACCATCTCCCATTCATTGTTGCCTGAAGTCTTGCATTCTTTGAGAGGATTTATTTGTTTAAGGTAGGTAAATGTATGGACTTCTTTTTTCTAGCTAGGTAAACATGGTGCTTGGATATGAGATTAACTTATTTGGGTTAAGACCTGAACCATGCATGCTATTTCAGCATAAGGAAAGTGGTTATGTAGTCAAAAAGCTAGCGATCAAGAAATTATATACATGATTTTAGCTAGTGATCAAGAAATTATCTACTGGAATTTATTCCCTTTACCTTATATAAATTATTCTGCTTGAATAAGAAATTGCGCAATGGCTCTTCTTATAGAATTTTCTTGTCTTGAAAATCAGATGCAATTTGCTTGGTTTCCACATGAACAACATGTGGAAAACAAGGCAATGAAACCTTTTTAACCCAAGATCCAAAAGATCTAATAATACTTCACATATTTTTAGAGATAAAAATTTTACATCTAGGTTTTAAAAGATATTCCTAGTCATTTAGATTAATCTTTCAGTTGAACTCCTTCCCCACATATTTTACTTCAGATCTCTTTTCTTATTATTTTGTGTTTCTTTTGTTCTATATTTTACCCCATTCTTGCTGTTTAAATTCTTTTCAGATTTATTTTTTGTTTTCCATGTGATAGAGTTGAACCTTTTCCTATCACTGAAAGGAAGGTTTCACCATGTTCTGTTAATTTCCCTAGTGCAAGAGCCATTGCTATTTCAAGTTGAACAAATCCCCGTGTTAGTCCATGAAACATTCCCCCTTCACTAGCGAGCAACTTGAAATACAGAACAAAAATAAGAACATCAATCTCGTTGTAATTGAACTTTGACTTGACAGGAAGAGGCTTTTCCAGATGATAAATGAGCTCCCCACAATATTTGAGGTTGTGTCTGGAAATGTTAAGCAACCTAAGGACCAATCTGCTACTCACAACAACAGTGGCAAAAGCAAATCAAGTGGGAAGATGGTAAGAAGTTATGAGTTACATTTAATTCTCGCTGTTAATCATTTCTCAATATTGTTCTGTTTAAGAATTCTTTTGCTGTTTGGATGTGTCCTTTAAGCAATCCCGGCAACCTGAACCCCAGCCTAAGGCAGTAAAGTTGGCTGCACCACCCAAGGAAGAGTATGAGAGTGGGGAAGAGGAAGAAGAAGACGATGAACAGGGTGCTACTTGTGGAGCATGTGGTGAAAGCTATGGCACTGATGAATTCTGGATTTGCTGTGATATGTGCGAGAAATGGTTCCATGGAAAATGCGTCAAGATTACACCTGCCAAAGCCGAGCATATCAAGCAGTACAAGTGCCCAAGTTGCAGCGGCAAGAGGGCTAGAGTTTAAAGTTAGATGCTGAAGTCAAAGATGGACATCATTTAAACAAAGCAGACAAGGGGTAGAACTTTTTCTTTATCGTTTTAAAAGTTGATCAGAGACAGTTGTCCACTTTAGTCAATGAATTTGAATGACTGCAGATTGGATTTTTTTTAAAGTTTGGCTACTCATGGTTCCTTGTCTAATTTTCTTCGGAATTGTGTTCTAAATAGCTGGTGGCAACTGTATCTTTTTTCTTTATATATTGTTGGTACATTTTTTCGGTTTGTGCAGATGCAATATTTTCTTCTTCCTTTTTTCCCCAATGTTTTGCCTCTGAAATGATTCCCCATTCCCTTTCCACCGGATTGAAGAGTGGAATTTTTTTGTTTTGTTATGTGTGGTTTTTAATTCCCAATGAAAGGGGATTTGATACGAGGAGCCCCAAAGTATGGGAACAAACGGTGCTGGATGGAGAAAGGGAAGCAATTCACACCGTATAGCTGGAGTAGGTAGCTCATTGTTCTGAACTCGGAAGGAATTTTTGTTTTCAAGATGCAAGTTGTACATATCACCATCGTTACATGACATAAATTGACCCAATTATTAGTTGGTATTGGTAATTGCCAACATTTTTTCTGTTGGTTTTTGTAGCTGAATGCAAACCTGAGCATAGTTTTAAATGTTATACAATGGTTGTTATGTAAAGATTTTAAAACATGTTATTGTTGTTAATTTTGTATTATAACAAGCTGTAATTTGTGACGATGATCATGATTATAATTGTCAACATTTTTTCTGTTGGTTTTTGTAGCTGAATGCAAACCTGAGCATAGTTTTAAATATTATATAACGATCGTTACGTAAAGATTTTAAAACATGTTATTATTGTTAATTTTATATTATAATAAGTTATAATTCGTGATGATAATCGTGATTATTTTTTTAACTGTTAACAATTTAAAACAATGAACCTGAGTGCTTTGGTTGTTATGCTCCAAAAAGAGATAGGAGTGGCTATGGTCTATTTTTGTTTGTAGGACAATCATGAAATTTGAGTGTGTAGTGATGGCCTTTATTGGTTGGCATTGAACAAGTACAGTGTCTTGTCTTGTCTTGACTTGAGCATGGACACTTCTAGATGGAGGTGCTAAGCTTAGCTTCCACCCATTCTAACCTACCTTTTTGAACAGGATTTAAGAAAACGAGCCATCCAAATTGTTAACATTAAATCTACACGGGTTATAGCACAATAAAATGAAATTAAAAATAATAATAATAATAAATTCGAAGCTAAGAGACAAAGGTAAAATAACCAAATGCTCATCCTCAAAAAAGAGATAGAACTAGCATATATGTAGTTACATCGATCATTGAATAAAAAATATTATGCTTAATTATTATATTCCTCCCTTTTCTATCAAGAGTCAAGAAAGAAGATGAAACGAAAGAAGCCAAGTATCTTTTTCTTTTTGTTTTTAGATTTCATTAGTTTGGGACTCAATGTCCTGCAATCGGGAGTTGGCATTGGCAATGGAGCACTTGCAGGCTATGGAGAAGTTGTACTTCTTCAACAATACATACAACATCCAGCAGACTAAGAGAATGGAAGCTGTGAGTCCACCTCCTCCTATCACGTGCTTGAAGCTCGGTTGCCCTCTTGGAGCCTCTTTCAAGTTGAAGACTCCTGCTGGAGGTGGGTACAACAAGTAGTACTCTGAACTGGGGTATAATGCTTCCATATCTTTGAACACCAAGAAAACTGCAACTTTGGTTGGTTATGTTGAGAGGTTAGAGGAAGGAAATGGGGCTATTTATGGACTTCAAAACCCAATCAAAAGCACCCTCTGTCGCTATTTCAATCCTTAAACCTGGGGGCTTGATTGGAACACTGTTGGAACCAACAGGTTTACCACTAGCAGCCAAGCTATAAAACCATTTGCTTTGATGTTGATATGCAAGGTTAGGGTTCATAAATATATATATGATAAGTTACTGAGAAACCCCATAGCAATTTCGCTGAAATAATAAAACCCGTTGAAGATTGCATAGGTCTTACAGACAACAACTGATGGTTGACAAATGTTTATGCGTTCACACATTCTATTCTCAGTTCTTTACCACCCATCATTTCTCTCTCCTCTTTTGAAACTATGTTCTTGCTGATCAGGGGGAAACAGGTTAGAACATAGAGAAAAAGTTGAGGGAGAAGCGGAGATTAATCACAAATCTACTTCCTTAATTCATGTCATCATGTCAGTTAGGTTGTGCTATTTATGATAGTTTCATCTGCTTATACTTTTAGGTAAATCTGAACTAGTTGGCAACCTTTTAACATGGATCCCAATCCTATGACAAAACACCTGCACAATTTCATAACTTGTGTTCAAAATCGGTAGCAAATTCTATCTCAATAGACAGATATACGTATCCCCGAATAGCTATGCATTGGTCAACATCAAGTCTCCATATTAGATTGGTTCATCTGAAAGGACAGAGAAACATTATCCTCACAATTCACTGTATACTCTTAGCCAAAGCCTGGCCTTTCCTCCTAAGGAACCAAAGCAAAAGAGCAGATTCCTCATTTCTATTCTAAACAAACTCTTCAATGATCTAAGCTTATAGGTTCAAAATTGAATTGCTTGTAAATAAAGCAAGTTATGGATCAGTAAACAAATAAATGATGCTGTACCAACTCGTGGAGGAATAGCTTCCAAATTGTGGCAAATGTTTTGAATCCACCATCTTCTTGCCCAGTGCTTGCTTGCATCCTGCCTTCTCAACTTTTTCCTCGCACTTAGACTTGCTCCTTCGTGTAAATTTGGTTTTGTAGACCACAGATTGGCAATCTATGACCACTCAACTTATCTAAGGTCGGACACAAACAATGTTGCGGCCATGTCGGCAGTTCTTACAATTTCAGGCATACTAAAGTCTTCTAACTAATAGTCTTTTGGATTACTCTTCTTTGACCAAATTTGTGTAAGGCGGTTGTATACTCGCGTTGCGTAATGGTAACATCATTATTTATTGTTATTTGTGTGAAACAACATCGGGGCATCCATAACGTCAAATAACGATAATTATCAATATGCTCATAACAATATTGCGGCCATGCAGGCTGTTCACCCTTTATAATTTTAGGCATACTAGAGTCTTCTACCTAATGGCCTTTTGGATTACTCTTCTTTGACCAAATCAACATTGTATCAAGTAATTATCGATATGCTCATAACTATACCGCTACCAGTGTGCTTTAGAGCTCACAGTCATCAAGAAACAATCAAAATATCCAACGCTGGAGGACCTTTATGCAACTATCGACAACAAGAAAACCAGGGCATTTTCTGTTGAGCAGAATCTATCAACCAAAACCATTCCCTTACTTTAATGGATGCGCATGAAAAAGATAGGATAAAGATTCTTTTCAATTTTATCTTTATTTTTTTCAAAATGTGATGGATCTAGCAATTTGATTTCCAATTCCCATGATCTTTTTTGTTAAAACAAAAAATTGAAACCAAGAATTTTGAGAGGAAGGAAGTTATAGTTATCAATTGAACTACATTTTTATTCCTGGGATTATTGACTAACCTATTCCTTTAAAAAAAAAAAAAAAAAGACTAAAAGATTAGGCAATTCATCAAATGGGTTGCACATTACGGAGGAGGGTTGAGCTTGTAGTAGCAATTTTGTTTGGGTTTTAGCTTTGGATAATTCTGTTCCTGTTGATGGAAAATAGGCTTTCGTTGCAATACTTTTCTCTACCTTGCATAAACAGTACAAAAATGGTGAGTAAATTATAAATTACTCCTTTTAATTTTAAAAAATAAATTAATTAGTCTCTTTTGTTTTGAAAATTAATTATTTAATCCTTATACTTTTAAAATTTTCTTGCAATTTAATCTTTTTCACTCCTTTTCAATTTATTTTTATTTTGTTTCAAGTAATTAAAAAAGAAAAAAAACAAGTAAAATAAAAAATATTAAATTATGCATGATCAACACTAGTTAAAAAACTAAATAATTAATTTTTAAAATAAGAAGGATTAATTAACTATTTTCTCAAAAATTGAATGATTAATTTATAATGGGTTTTGCACATATCGAGACCTCGAACAATTCGAATTTTTTTATTGAGACCCTAAGTTTTTTTCTCGTTCAATTTAAGAATTCTACTCTTATGTTGTTATTGTTTCGTACTCTATTATAACACATAAATATACGTGGCAAGCTCTAACCAATGATAGCTTATCACGTGTCATGATGAGCTCAAATTGAGTGATTGAATTGATGACATGACAAGTTGTCATTTATTAGAGTTTGTCATATGTGCTTACGTGACAAATTATCGTTGGCTAAGATCTCGAAACAATAACAACATAAAAATAAAATTTTTAAATTGGATAGAAAAAAATTTAGGATTTCAAAAAAAAAAAAATCAGAATTATACATAGTCTCAATATGTTAAACCTAATTTATAATTCACTCTAAAATGGTGGATTTAGTCGCAAAATCTATTTTGTGACCAACAAAAGTAGGCAAGCTATCTATAGGCTTTTTGTTTTGTCCTTGAGAATGTTTTTTCACAACCCAAATTTAGGCCTCCTTCACTTCTCTCTCTCTCTCTCTCTCTCTCTCCCTGGCATTTCTGGCCTTCCTTCCACGACCAGCTCGTGCATCAAAACATGTCTTCACTATCATATGCATTAATCCAATGATCATCACCATCATTATTATTATATTGGTGGGATGAAGCTTTCCATCAAGAATTCATGGACAACCTTTTTGTCTAGGCAAATCTATTATTGTATTTGCATTAGATATAAATGATCAGTGTTTTGTAGTTGCCAATGTTTGGATAGGTTCTCCGTTGGTGTGGTTAATTAATTAAGGAACTGTATTTTATGTTCTTTAACAAATATATGCAGACGAATAGTGCATGTCTTCTTTCTCTTGGGACTTTCTCCTTTCAAGAAACAAGATAGAGCACTAAAATTGCCAAAAGATTGTTCGTCTGAAAGCTAGCTGCCTCTTGAACCACGTGTCAGGATTCAATTTATGACGCTAAGAAAAATATATCTAACTTATCATATTAAGTACTGTTAGGTTTTTATTTTTAAAAACCTTCATTTTTATTTTTTATTTTTTATTATAACACTAGACATAGACGGCTAATAGACTTAAAGAATCAGCCATAAGTAAATTGGTTTATAAATAAATTTTTTGTTAATGTGTAAAATTCGAATTCTAGAGTTGTTCTAATCTCAAAAAGTTAAACTTTATCGTTTCTTCTCTAAATAGGATTATTCATATTTTCAATATGAAATAGAGATACTTTAAGGAAAAAAAACGATCGGAGGTTAGGCTTGATGTAGTGCCGACTTAAGAAATGTATTTGGATTTAGTCAAAGATACTTAGGATTCAATTTACGGTGCTAAGAAAAGTATCTTTGACTTATCGGATTAAGTACTCGTTTGATTTTTATTTTTAAAAATATTTTTTTATATATAACATTAGGCATAGACAACTAATAAACTCAAAGAATCATTGATAAGAGAGTTGTCTCTAAATAAATTTTCTATCAATTTGCAAAGTTATAATTCTAAAGTTGCACTTATCAAAAAAGATTAAATCTTATCGCTTCGTTCTAAATAAAATTAGTTATATTTTCAATGTGAAATGAAGATACTTGAAGAAAAAACGATCGGAGATTATCCATGATCTAGTGCTAATCTAGGAAATATACTCGCATTTAATTTCGATTAATACAAAGACTTATTCAACAATGCCTTATTGTTTGTAAATAGGTATTCCAATTACATTTTAAAAAAATTGTTTTATTGATTCAATGACTATCATGCAAATTAAGGAGCTCAAAAAGTAAAATAAATACTCTTTATTATCTACCAATTGAGAATTATTTGCACAGATATGATCCATCATCTAATTGCATTATTATTGATGATTTCATTTTATAAATATGAAAATATTCAAATTCTAAATATAATTTTCTAAATAAATGAGTTATGCAAATTTAATTATTTCTAACAATCCACAAATTTTAAGTGATGGAACAACTGATCAGTCAAATACTTTCTCATCAACCCACCTCCTTGCTCCCTCCCGACAATTGTGTTTCCATGATTGTAAACTTTACCCTAACACACGTGCATGACATGATTCTTTAGTTCGAGTAAAACTCTAAAAAAAGACTTTAACTTCTCAGAGAAATTGAGTCGGTAATTTTCCCCCTCCAGTGGGTGGCAGATTTCATAATATCATAATATTATATTAAGAAATTGAAGTCCATGCATAGAATCCGATAACTTTAAGAAATGAAAGGGCTATCCCTTTTAAGAAGGTGAGTAAATTGTTAAATAATTCGATTTGATTTTTAGTTAATCAAATTAAGAAAAACTGAAACTGAATCAAAATAAAATTGGTAAGTTTGGTTTGAAACCGAATTATTTCGGTTCAGTTTTAATCGAAATAATTATTTTTAATTAGTAAATTTTAAACATGGGCTGAACTAATATTTAGAAGTTTTTTATTTTTTAGTACATTGACTGAGCTAATAAAGGATATGTTTCCTCCTTCAATGCCATAATTTAAATCTCAAACTAGCCGTAGGAAATTAAATTTTTATAAATTCTTAATCTTGTCATAATTTAGAAATTTTTTTTTAGGCGACGGTCGGGTGCTTTTTTTTAGTTTTTATTTTCAATATATTTGGTTTTCAATGAAAATTGTTTTTTTTTTCAAAAACCAAATAAAAATAATTTCAATATTTCTGTTTGGTTTTTAATTTTACAAATTTAAGTTCAAAATCAAACCAAAATACATAATTCGGTTTATTTCGATTTGGTTTTTAGTTAGTTGAAATTATGCTCACCCCTAATTACTTTCGTAACCATTAGCATAAATCTTTCTTTCCTAAAATCGATTGATTTGGGTAATAATTAAAAAGAAGATTTATTAAACATAAAAATATGAATTTCAATCTCTTGATTATTTTACTTTTTTTTAGCGAAACGGCATATATATTTAATTATATTCGTTTTCTTGCAAGATGATGAATGCATGCATGCCAGATGATCGATGGCTTAAAGAAGCAGCCATCAGTATTTAATTAGGAAAGATGTTTTAAATTTTTTCAACTTCCCCTGAATTAATTAGTATAAATTATAGTGCCAGACAAGAAAGTTTTAAGTGCAAGAAAGTGATATAGTAGCAAAAAAATCTTGTACGTGGTCAATCTACGTACGTCCATGGAAATGGTAATTTCACCATCAATAATAACACAATAAAACTTTTGGAGTTGCTCTCAGCCCTAATCTCCACGCACTCAAATCTCATATAATGTCTTGTTTTTGCTTGCATAATATATATATATATATATATATATATATATAGTAAAACCCTACTGCAACTATATTAAGGACCTTGAAGTGAACCTTTAGCAAAGTGATCGAGTAATGGCAAACATTCGAGGTGCTTTTCCCTCCTCTTTCCTAATTCTTGCTTGGTTGTTGGCTAGCACTCATGGTGCAAAACCAAGTCGTTACTCCATGCCATTCAATACTAATTTTTTTAGCCTAATATTTACATCAATCTAACATATTAAATTTATCATTTTCTCGTGCTTGAGGTCGCGACTGAGTGATGAGGTTGAGGGTCGCTCATCGATGATACACGGGTTCGAATCTCAATGTGCACGTCCGTCACCTCCGCAATGCCTTACCCGCTCACTAGGCTTGCGGGGTGTTCGATGAGCCTGAGGATTAGTCGAGGTGCGCGCAAGCTCGATCCGAACACTCGGGTTATCAAAAAAAAAAAAAATTATCATTTTCTAAACTAGATCAATATCAAATCATATCTTTTTTTTTTTCAATTTAAAAAACCGAACTTTTCATAACCCACCAATAACTTATGTGTCTCGTATTATATAAAGAAAAAAAAAGCTTTTCAAAAATCAGATTCAAACTTTTTATCTAATATATATATATATATATATATCTTATGTGTGCACGTGTGTTTTTTTTCTAGACATTCTCATTTTATATTGACTAATCATATTTAAAATGAAAATAACAAGATTTAAATTGTCTAATAAATATGATTTTAAAAATTCAAATTTTGTATATTAATAAAAAAAATATTTAAAAACCAATTCCTTTGCTTCTGAGCGAACAATTTATTGGTTCAAAAATATTTTTCTTCCGACTCTATCAACAACATTAAATGGTATTTTAATGGTACCGTATCATCCTGTGGTTTGGCAAGCTATGGATATATAGCAAATAGAAAGCAAAGGATATGGTTTGGCAAGCTATGACGTGACAAGATTTAAATTGCTCAACAAATAGGATTTGAAAATTCAAACGTTATACATTAAAAAAAAAAAAAATCTAAGAACGCTTATTTCTGAGCAAACAATTTATTGGTTCAAAAATATTTTTCTCACGGCTCTATCAACAACATTAAATGGTATTTTAATGGTACCGTATCATCTTGTGGTTTGGCAAGCTATGTATACATACCAAATAGAAAGCAAAGGCTATGGTTTGCCAAGCTATGGATGTGATTTGGCATTTCTATATATGCCATGTTGCCTCTTCAATATAAAATCCATCTTTGACTGTCACATCACATGCAAGAAAATGTCTGAGAGAGAGAGAAATCTGTGTTGCTACGAATCAATCAATTAATGATTTCTTTAATTAATTGGGAGGACGTGACTAATTAGGATCAATGAGAACAAAGTGACAAAGACGTTCATTATCAAAAC